GAACAAAGTTCTACAAGCAGAGAAAAGAAACAGATCACATACAAAGGAAAGCCCATCAGAATCACAGCAGACTTTTCAACGCAAATGCTTAAGGCAAGGAGAGCTTGGAGTGATGTATTTCAGCCCTAGAGGAAAACAGCCTCCAACCCAGATTGATATACCCTGCAAAACTATCTTTCAAAATTGATAGAGAAATAAGATACTTTCATGACAAAGAGCACCTTACGAACTTCATGAATACCAAACGAGCACTCCAAAAATTTTAGACAATATCCTAGGAAAAGATAATGAGGATCACAACCCCAGGAAGCCCAGCAGAATGAATCCATCAGGCACGACACGAAATTAAACACAAAGAGGGAGAATCCAAGACAAAGAAAAAGTCATGACAATGATAAGTCAATATTTATCAGTTATAACCATCAAAATAAATGGTCTCCATTCACCAATCAAAACAAACAGACTGGCAGAATGGGTCAAGAACCAAGATCCAACAATATGCTGCATACAAGAAATATACTTAATTCAAAAAGAAACACACAGATTGAAAGTTAGAGGATGGAAAACAATACTCCATGTGACAGGAACCAAAAAAAAAACAGAAGAAGCTATCCTCTTTGCAGATCAAGTGAATTTCAAACCAACACTGATTAAGAGAGACAAAGAAGGACACTAAATCCTTGTAAAGGGAACAATCCAAGAGGAAGAGATGACAATCATAAATATCTATGCACCAAACACTAGTGCACCCAACTATATAACACAAACACTAACAGACATGAAAAATCATATAAGCACTAATACAATAGTAATGTGGGTCCTCAATACCCCACTGTCACAAGCAGATAGATCAACTAGACAAAAAATAAGCAATGAAATAGTAAAACTCAATCAAACTCTTGAACAAATGAACTTAACAGATTTCTACAGAGTGTTCCACCCCACAAAATGAGACTACACAGTTTTTTCAACTGCACACAGGTCATTCTCCAAAATACACCACATACTCGCTCATAGAATGTGTTTAAGTTAGTGGAAGGAATTGAAGTTATCCCCTGTATATCAGACCATAGTAAGATGAAATTGGAGATCCACAGCAAAAGAAACTGTTAGAATTTCATAAACACATGGAAACTGTAAAACACATTTCTGAATAACCAATGGGTCACAGAGAAATTAAAGAAGAAATCAGACAGTTCCTACAATTAAATGACAATGAAAACACAACATATTGGTATCTAAGGGACACAGTGAAAGCAGTCTTATGAGGGAAATTCATAGCAGTGAATACTCATATTAGGAAAACAGAGTGAGGCCAATTAAACAACCTGATGCTG